TGTACAACACACACAGAGCATGACCAGGAACACTAAATCCATTGGGAATAGGAGAAAAAATTCCCCACGTCCCACTCGAGAATACCATTCTGTTCTCACTCGGCTTGGGGAGTTTTCTTTCATTCCTTGTCTTGTTTTTGAATGTGAGCGCAGAGAATGAGAAACTGTGTGGGCATCTGTGGCTTTTGGTCTGTGTGATATGTTAACAGAACCAATTTTACTTTGTGCAAACAAATGAAGGCATATGAAATGGGGTGTGGGTGATTCATACACGTCGAGTGAGGCAGTGTTTGGACCGCGTGTTCTGGAGGGATAATGATTACAGAAGCCCAGCTGACGATGAGCGCATGATGACATGCAGTCGACACAAAAGACTCTCCTGTCTTCCCCTCCTTCTTCACATCACCATCAAAGCTTTTAACATGAATGCTGTGGCTACCAGATTTCATTCTCAGTGCTAAATGGGTTCAAAGAGAAACGATTAACTATTAACAAATATTTTATGAAAGTTCAGTACTTCATGTATACAGTCAAATATGAAATACGTATAATTACAACTTCGAAAAATACACTTTGTGTGTGTGTACAAGTTTGTAGATGTACTATCAATTTCTAACAATTTTAAAAAAAGATGATTGATGACTGTATAAATGCTACAGTAAAACATATGAATTGGTAATAATAATACAATTCCTTATTATATACAGGGAGGCACTAATAGATCTAACCTGACATGTCATGTAATTTTAGAGTCAAATACTGTTAAATGTACAGTTTTTGGAAGTAAAACAAAAAAAAAACTTATAATTTACAGTAATTTATATCTTGTAATTTACTCATTTTATTTCCAGAATTCCCTGTGTGGCACTTCACATTTGATTTAATTTTGTATATTTCTGTTTCTTAGTCGTTTTTTTTTGTTGTATAAATTACAATATATAAACCCTGACATTAATAACTATTCAAATGTTTCTGCTTCAAAATTGGAAACATCCTTGTTGTTTTCAAATATTATTAGTAACTTTTGAGTAAATGGTGTACTAAATTATGTGCATATTACATTTTTTTATCTTTTTGTTATTAAATTGCATTTTTCTACATTTCTAATGTTATTAGAAATAATAATTATATTTAATTAAAATGTATATTTCTTACTAGTTATTATAAAGTCTAGATAACATGTGTTTATTTTTTTTAATTATTCTTTTTTGTATTACTTTGCACTAAATATTCTTTCTATTCTTCTTGCTGTTCTTATTAGTATAATTATTACTAATTTCGCTCATCACTCTCTACCCCACCCAGTCAGATCAGATGTGGAAAAATATATATTTCCAACGTCGCCTTGGTTTGTTTTAGTGTATGTGCAACAAGAAGCTTAGCAATAATAAACAGGTTCGTAAGCAGGTTTCAAAAGGCTCTTCAAAACCTGCTTCAAATGTTACTGGTTTCTTTTCAAAGAATAATAATGCATTATGTTATAATTTAATAAACCATATTTAACTCTGCTTAATTAACACAGTGGAGGTTTTTGTCTGAGAGCAAGAAATGTGTGTTATTATAAGCTACTGGATATGAGAGTGACAAGTTCCACTGAAGCTGATTGTTCCCAGATGCAGCCGTGCTCTCCCATCCCGGAGTTTATATATGGCAACTTATAAAACTGTTACATCACAGCAACAATTCTCTTCAACTGCGTTTGCTGGAGTCGGTAGGTAACTTTCCGTGGGATTTCTTGCCCCATTGCCTGTGTCCTCGAATGACCGTAAATCAAAAGCATGTGAAAATGTTTCTACACTATAAAAGAAAAACCACAGAGACAAATTTTATAAACTTTTGGTGCCACAAAATTATGTATTCATGCACTTTATAGCATTTTTATGCTATGTTAGTGTGGCTGCCTTCCAATGTCGAGTCAATTAAAAAAAGGGTTTGCCATAACCTGAAAACTGCCACTACAATTTATAACAGACCTTTTTACAAACCTGGAGTGCACTTATTTTAATAACTGTTTGACCTGCAGCCGATGTTCCCTTGAGTGCAGTGTAGCAGCTTTCAAGTGCTAATGCTGATTGCTAATGCAATTTGAATGGGAAGTATGTCTTGCACATTGTACAAATACTGTCCTCTTTGGTGTCCTGTTAAAAAAAAATAGAAAGAAAGAAGAATTAAGTATAAAGTGTGTGTGTGTGTGTGTATACTGTATCTTATAAACTCTTGCCAGAAATATTAGTAAAAATAACTTTTTTATGTATGTATTATTTTGCACCAAATATTTCATTTATTAACTCATTTTAATTAAACTTAATTTAAAGTAAAATGATTTTTCTCTAATTTACAAAAATGTAACATTCTTTAAAATGTAGACTTTAAATGGGGGTCTTGACCTTCTTGACTGTACGTAACAATTAAAATAATAGAAAATTGTAATTAATCTGGCCATAATAATTGTATTAAAATAAAATTATTCTAAATTATTAAATCTAAATTTTAATCTAACTTATTACAAATTTTAATTAAACATGATTTTTTTTTATTATTAAACATTCTTTGGAATTTAGACATCAAAGTAACATCATTTTCACCTCTTGAAGACGAGCAAATTATCTCACTATAGCCTATTTTCTCAATTTTTACACAAACTATTCAACTCTGTTACCTAAGATATTATAAGAAAAAGAAACGAAAAAAGATTTCACAAATATTTTCCTTTCATTTATGATTAATATATGTTTATCAACAACTAAAAACCAATATTTTGCCACAAATTAGCTGCCCCCAATGAGTGACGGCTTAATTTAGGCAAAACTTGCAGCCCTGTTACCCATTCTGGCATTGGTTTGTAATGTAATTTTTAATTCAAATGCATTTAGTTTGCTTCGTACTTGATGTTTCTTGCTAGAAAACCACAAAATCACCCAAACCAGACTTGTATGAAATATGTTCCAAATGTTGGTCACAGGGTTGTTAAGTAATATAAACCCCAAAGAAATAAACAACAAAGCTCATATATATACATTTTGTTTGACCTAATGAAGCAGATGATTTTCTAGAGGTTAGACACCACCCTTCACAGAACAGTTATTTAAAAATATATATTTTTTAAATGTGCCATGCAAGCTGTGTACTTACTTACATCACACTTTTCACCAGTTTTCTGAAAAGCCTTGATATGGTGCTGCCATCTGCTGGTGGTTGGTGACCTCGTTGTTTCTGGTTTATGTCATCAAGGAGGCCAAACAGCAGTCAAGTATTATTCAGAACACCTCTTTCTCCTTCCACATACATCACGTCTGGTCTCCTGTGATTTCAATGATGCCAATGAAAGGAGACACCATCTATAATTGTCAGGTGGGCCAGATGTGCACTTGAATCACAGGTAGGTCTGAGTCCTCAGGAGCCGAGCACATCGCTCAGGGGAAGACAGGAGACGGCGTGTCTGGAATCAAAGAGATGTGTATTGATTTGTACAGTTTTCGCACAAGGTGAATGTCTAAAGGGAATCAACCTTGTGTGCTTTCATGTAAGACCTGGTAATAACCTTAAAGGGGTCATATGATGCTTTTTTAAAGATCATTATTTTGTGTATTTGGTGTAACAGAATATGTTGTCATGCTTTAATGTTCAAAAAACACATTATTTTTCGAATACTGTACATTATTGTAGGTCCTCTATGCCCCGCCTCTCTCAAACACGTCGTTTTCAACAAAGCCCCCTCCTTTGACAAGCGCAGTCTGCTCTGATTGGCCAGCTGACCCAGTGCATTGTGATTGGCCGAACACCGCAAGCACGAGTTGGAAATGTAACGCCAATTACCATAATCGCGAGCTTCAGCTTTCAAAGTAAATATCCAGATCCAGAGTCTTAAAGGGATAGTTCACCCAAAAAATGAAAATTTGATGTTTATCTGCTTACCCCCAGGGCATCCAAGATGTAGGTGACTTTGTTTCTTCAGTAGAACACAAACAGAGATTTTTAACTCAAACCGTTGCAGTCTGTCACTCCTATAATGTTAGTGGATGGGAATCACGGCTTTGATAGTCAAAAAAACATACACAAACAAAACCAAATTAAACCCTGCGGCTCGTGACGATACATTGATGTGCAAAGACACGATACGATCGGTCTGTGCGAGAAACTGAACAGTATTTACATACAGTATTATTTTTTACCTCTGATGCACTGCAATGTCTGAACTGTCCTGAGCGCGTAGAACTAATATATAGTTCTACTAATATATATATATATATATATATATATATATATAAAAAAA